CTTTTTTCTGTTGGAATAATCTGACTTTTCTTTCACACGCCTCTCCCCCTACTTTCCTACACACATTCACACTCAGAGGGAAAAATCAGATCCACACATGAGGGATAAATACACTTTTTTCTGGCTTGTGCGGTGGCCAGCAGACTTGTGTTGATGATGACTACTAGAGTTTATGTGGGTGCCAGGACAGGCATGGCCGCCCACGGGCATCCAAAGCCACAGGAACCACCAGCAGCCCTGCTGCCGTTCTCCTCCCTCCTTTCATCCCTCCCTCATCTTTCCTTCCCCTCTTCAGTGGTACTACAAACACTGCTTCACAATCCTGACTACATGAGATGGAGTTTACAAGTGTGTGGCTACTTCAAACGTTCACATCACTGTCGCACATTCCCCTTTTCCTTGAGAAGCTTATATCTTAGGGATCTTCCTAAAGTTTACCATGGGATAGTGTGCATTAGTGCTCACATCTACAGTAGGTAAATAAGAAAATGAATGCTTTACACTTGTAACCAAAATGTATTTTAACTTGTTAATTAATTTTGTGAATAATACATGAAGGCATAGATGCATGTAAATATTTGAGGATCAGCAGTCACATTAAGCTGTTTTCTATTTCACAGGCCGCTGTTTCGAGGAAACTCAGATGTTGATCAGCTGGGGAAGATTTTTGAGTAAGTATTATTATTAATATCGTCTATGTTCAGTTATAGCTTCTGAGATCCTGTATGTTTCCTGAGGATGAATGCACAACCTGTATTAAAGCCTTACTGTTCATAAAAATCAATCTAAATTCAGTCCAGCAGAAGAACTTGCTGTAGCTCAAGTGTATAGACATATCCTGCATCAGTTAATTAATGCACAACCTGCTGGATCTACTTATAATGAATGCTTTGTTAGGGTGAATATCTTTAATACCATTTTGCAACCCTCTAATGGTTCCCCAAACCTAGGATACTTTTGGCAAAGATTTGAACTTGGAGAGGTACTGATGACCATTATCATCCCACAGTGTTGTTGGGGTACCTTCAGCAGAGGACTGGCCCCAGGAGGTGGCCCTTCCACAGAGTGCCTTCACCCCACGGCCACCTAAGCCAATAGAAGACTTGGTTCCGGACATGGATGAGCAAGGACGGGCTCTCTTAATGGTGAATACCTATTTTGAGACTTCCTCAAAGCCTTAATATTAAACCTAATACATCAATTATGTGTAATAATTGTCCTTGTTTTTGGGGTTTCTTCAGTTAAATTGTACATGGACCCTCTTGTTCTCATCAACTTCGCTTCTCACTCTTTCTCTGCTCTCACCACAGCAATTCCTCGCCTTTAACCCCTCCAGGAGAATATCAGCCTTTGATGCACTGAGTCACCCCTATTTTCAAAGTGTGGACAGCCACAGTCGAAGTGTGTACGCGGCCCAGCCTATCCCCAGCAACAAGCCCACTATGGAGGAGAGGACTGCCTGACAGTTCTCCTTCATCTTTAATCATCCCATACAGTGTCTATAAAAAGTACTCAACTCATTGTTTTACAGTCTTGTTCATGTTTTGTTGTTTTTGCAGTGTTAAGTCTAAGTATAATAATTAACCTGATCACCAGAAAAATCTTGAATGTCAAAGTGAAAACAAAAAAGCAAAAACACAGAACTCAAAATAGTCTGTTTAAAAATAGATTCACCCTCTCAAGTCAATATTTAGTAGAAGTACCTTGGTGAATCTGCATTAGTGTTACACATTTAGATCATACCGTGTTTCTCCCTTGCATAACTGCTCAAGGTCTATTATACTGCATGGTCAACTGTGACTGAACAGCACATTTTAAGCTCTGCTTCAAACTCTTAATGGAACTGAGGTCTTGATTGTACAGTAATTTGGCTGCCTGAATGTTTTCCCTTTGAAGACAGTCCTGTGCAGCTTTGGGTCTGCTTGAAAAACTCTTCTCCCAACACTGCAGATTTTCCTCCAGGGTTCTTCTGTATTTTGTTTGTGTTTATTTTACCCTTTGGCTTCACAGGTTTTCCAGGGCTTGCTGCAAAGCCACATTGCTACAGAATGCTAGCAAACCCCAAGCCTTGCCTAGCATTTAGTTTGTTTGTCAAAAAGCCTGATTTTGCTGTTATCCCTTCATGAAGCCTTGTTTCCTATCACATACCTTTAGGCAAGGGCAGAAATGAGATTGAGATCATGACATTTTCTTAACACTAGCTTTCTCTTGGCCATTTGGCCATCAAGCTAGGGCAAGCATCCATGCAGCAGTTGCTGTAGGTTGAAAATCTTCCATCTCCTTTAGGCAACTATCTAACATCTGTGTCTTTTTGATAACCGTTATAGGTTGGTTTCAGACTTCTGTTCTCTTAGTGTAGTTTATGCCCATTGTTGGGTCCTACAGATACAGGTGCATTTATCTTAAAGCACAGATTATCATCCTATTTTGCAGCATCTAAAAGCAGGTGCCTGCACATGTGATAAATTGTCATAGATAAGAGGGTTAATACACTGCCCTTTAGATCCATTTGCCAAGATTTTTCTCTTTGACATTCAAGAGTTTTTCTGATAATCAGTGTCAAAAATTGTAACATGATTGCATTATATATATATGAACTCAAACATGAAATGGACCACAGCTAATACTTTTTATAGTCATTGTACAAACCTCTAGGAAAGTAGCTAAAAAAGAAAGATTACAGCAATGTTCTCATCCCTAAACAATGCATAAAAGCTGTCCTCCATCCATAAATGGATGGATTGTACAGTACTTGCTGCTTTAACGTAATAATAATTCATTGTGTTAACAATGCAAAGACACTTGCATCCTAGATGAATTGTTATTAGTGGCCAGACAGACTGTAGGAGCCATGAAGCAGGGGCCTCTTTATAACCAGTGTTGAGCCTTGCAAGAGCCCTCTTGACTCGGGGACCAGACCATACAGGAACCTGGGTTGACAGCTCAAATCCCACCTCCCCTAATGCTTACTGTGGATTTATGCAGCAAGCAGATATACAATGCAAGCATGTTCACAGACACAACATTTGGTGTGCGCTCAACCATTGACACATTACACATGTACAAGTCTACCAGCCAGTCACTTCTGTGCCGACTTTCAGTTATATATGTGTTATATTACTGCCACCTTGAGGATGTTTTCAGTAACTGCAGACCAGTAGCAGGATTCTAATGGTTTCTGCACTCAAGGAACTCATGGGCTAACCGTGCTGAGACAGTGTTGAGAGAACCTTGTATAAAGGTTCCTGCCACCCAGTTGGTGTTTGTTACTGCCACTGTGGGCTTCTTTCATTATGAAATACAAATATTATTTACTATTTGAATTATACAGTAATGCACAGACTTGCAGTGGGTGGAGAGAGTCCCAACAGCACTATTCTACATGAAAGCATTTGGCACAGTATTGTCACCTATTTTCGGTATTTAATTTTAATTTTATTGTCAAATTGTATGGCTTTCATCAAGTAGATTTTTCTTAATATTCTGGGACATACTTGTTCTTACACCAATTAGACCAACTCTTTAGATGATTACAAAATTTGTGTAAGAATAGTTTGATAGTGTAAGGAATATCCAGATGGTAGGCATTTGTACTGTCCAGTATGTAGTGCCGAGTACAAGCTGTAATGAAAACTTTTGATACATGCGTCGTCAGCCCATAGATATGTTGTAAAAATGGATAGATGTAGAGTAGCGAGGGTCAGTGGAATGTTGCATGGTAGGAGTATTTTGTTTGTTGAAAATGTTGGATGGTTCTGTGGGCGCTTGTTGAATTTCATTTACTTTGGATTGAGAGTGATTAAGAACTTTACAGTGGTTTTTATAATGAAAATAATGCACAAATATTTTGTGGATAGTTTTTACTTTATAATGAGACATACTGTAAACAAAATTTTTACCAGCAAGGAAAACGCAAGTAAGCAGAGTTGTATTTTTGTATTTAGTAGTTCTTGCAGAACAGTAACATATTTTAACACTGGGTTACGTTTTCTTAACAGGTAGTGCTGCTAGCACACACATACAGTGGGTACGGAAAGTATTCAGACCCCCTTAAATTTTTCAATGGACAGCACCCAAGTTAAATATATGAGTGTCACAGCAAAGGGTCTGAATACTTATGACCATGTGATATTTCAGTTTTTCTTTTTTAATAAATCTGCAAAAATGTCAAAAATTCTGTGTTTTTCTGTCAATATGGGGTGCTGTGTGTACATTAATGAGGACAAAAATGAACTTAAATGATTTTAGCATATGGCTGCAATATAACAAAGAGTGAAAAATTTAAGGGGGTCTGAATACTTTCCGTACCCACTGTATACACAGACACACTCTCTAACTTTCTCAGGTTCTTGTTATGGACGCCCAAACCTTTTGGGCACAGTTTGCACATCTCTGGTTTTCTAACTGACCACATTGCAACACCTTTCAGGTTTTCTTTTGAGCTGTTCCATGATCATGTCATTGATCATGGTCTACTGTCATTCCTATTTATCAAATAGACATATGTTACTGTAGTCATTACTGTCTGAAGATTGCTGCCTGTATGATCTGTTTTTGCCCGTGTGGTTTAATTGCTAGATAGATCCATGTACAACGTATTATCATCTGCTTGACTAAGCATTCTGTGAATATTCTATTTGATAATGATTCATAGCCTATCTGGTATCAGTGGTGCATACAATGCAAATAAATCTCTAAATGCTTTAGAGGTTTATAATTTTACAAACATTATTGCTTTAGGCTCATTACATTTGATACAAAGGTAAATGGTCTTATACTTGTATAGCGCCTTTCTATGCTTTTTACAGCACACTCAAAGTGCTTTCACATTATTCGGCCATTCACCCATTCACACTCCCAAGCACTCACACATATTCACACACAGGTGACATCACCGGGAGCAACTGGGGGTTCAGTGTCTTGCTCAAGGACACCTCGACATGTTGACTGGACAAGCCGGGAATCAAACCGTTAATCCTCCGGCTCCTGAGCCACAGCCACCCCCAATCACTAAGCTTGTGTTATGATTTAACCAGTTCGAAATACATTTCAATTTCATAACATTCGACTAAAATTCATTGTGTAGCTTCTAAAATTTTCACTACTTTGACACAGCACAGCTTGATTCATTTAAAAAAAACTCAAATTACACATGTTCCTGTGTCACATTTTTTAACATTAAATGGAGACTAAGAGCAACACAATTATTATGTTATACTTGTGTATAAAAGCAGGCATCTGTGTTGGACCAGTTGAATAAAAAGTAGCTTTTATGAATGTTTTGAATACTTGCGTTCTACCACACAGTCGTAACAATATTTCATACTAGCACAAAGCAATTTTAAATAAATGAATATTTTTGTATTATTGAATTTGTGTTATCACTGTTTCACCAGAAGTAACCTGGCATAAGAACCATAATATGGAAAGGTTTTTCAATGATAGCCAGTAAAAGAGACAGTATTGTTTTAAAAAATGAGAATCAAACAGGAGGTGTTGGAGATGATATCTAGAAGGTTATGTCCAGACGGTGGCAGAAAAGAAATGCAGCAACTGTGACGCTAGCAGCCGTAAAACCCCGAAGAAGAAGCGGTAGCAGCCGAAGAAGAGTAAAAACTAAACACTCCCCAGCTTCCATGTTACCCAGTTCGATGTTCCTAGGCTAATGTTGGCAAGGTAATATTAATGGTAGGTTCCTGCGTTGGACATTGCTTTTCCACTAAGTCAGCATGGGAAAGAGAGACAATCGAGTGGTGAGTTATGTTGCTTAATTTGTGTAAACTTGATTAACTATGGGTACGTAACGTTAGGTTCATTTGCTAAGTGGCTAGGCTAAACATAAACAGCCTGGCGATAGTTTCGGCTATCGTAATGCTAGGCCTCTGGGCCATTGGTCTGTTCAGACATATCTTTTGGGGAAAGAAATTGTTTTCAACTTAGTTGCTTGGTGCACATTGTAGCTAACATAAATGGGCAGCACTGCTGTAGCTGCGCAAAGTGCAAAACATTTTGGACAGTGATTTGACGTGGAATAGTTAGCGCGGTGGTTGTTGATAAGGCACAGCCCTGAAACACTAGCAAGGGCATACTGATTACACTAAAACTGTTTGAATTAACGATAGCCTTGTGATTTTTTTTAAAACTGTTTACGAAATGTTTGGATCCCATTTTTGTGGTTATTTTGGCTATGGAGTCTGATATGCTTGAACTGTTTGTATTATACGGGTAAATCTCAGTGCATGGTGCGTAATTTCTGAGTCACTTCAGTAGACACACGTAAGTGTGTAAAATGCCTTTCTGTCTTTGGTGTTTCAGGCTTACATTAACCCCATTGCTGCTGCGCGAGCCAGGGGCCCAGTGCAAAACTCTGGGCCAACCATACAGGATTATTTAAGCAGACCTCGACCAACATGGTAAGTAAGGGACAGACCTTCACGGTGGTATACACTGACATACATATTTGCTTTTTGGTAACATAAGATAAAATCTGGCTCCAGATCTGGAGCCAGATTGTGACCTGGTTCCAGATGAGCGGAGGAAAATGGATGGAAGATAAAATATGACAGATGTCTGTGTTACAGCTGCATTTCTTTGTTTGTTGCAATCTTTCTTCTTTTTATTTTTAAAGACACTAGTTGGGAAGCTGTGGCATTCTGCTTGTTTGATTAAGCGACATGGATATACTATTCAGTGTTAATTTTCCATCACAGGCCGAAAGTACCCTTACACTTCATTGAAAGAATGCTCTGTACAGTTCAGTTTTGTCATGCAAGTCTACATGCTTTCGGTTTTTTATAGATCAAAACAAAGTTGTGAAAGAAGCCATGTTGGCTGTTGTACAAAGATCTTCTAAAGTGACCTGAACTAAATTATTAATACCCCTCAGAAGTGGTAATAAATAAATTGATTGCAGAGAAAATTAAGCAGACTGTTGTATTCTGTTAGCATCACAAGTGTTTCCAATCTTCCAAACAGTCATTCATACTGTTTCACTGGAGAAAAGTTCTCAGTGTAATAATGGGTGTCATTGTGTGCACCACACTATACACAATCAAGAAAAAGAAGAAAATTATTAATGATCTCAGGAACTGAGTGGATTAAAATGAGATGAATGACTTTGGACAGTTTGCAGAGACACTTATCTCCTCCAACTTTAGCCACAAGGGGGCACATTTAATTCATTATCTACCACACACCACTACCAGGATGTAAGTTCCCTTTGCATTTTCCAAAGAGCAAAGTGCTTTCAAATGCAATATCAAAGACTAACGCACCCATGTCTGGTACCACAGTGTTACTTAAAAGGCTTAAATGAATTAGATTTTATCATAACAGACTGTTTGGAAAGTACACTTTTGCTAAACCCAAATCTCAAATACTTGAAATGAATAGAGTCATGCTTTGTCTATCAGTGGATGTTGATGAAGAGCTGCTTCAGTTTGAGTAGATGTAATCTTCCTAAATGTGTGCTGAAAAGCTTATAACTTGCATTATAACTGACTTATTGTCTTTATTATTTACTTATGTGTTTGTTGGTTGGCTTTTAGGGAGGAGTTAAAGGAACAGCTGGAGAAAAAGAAGAAGGGCTCTCGAGCCCTGGCTGACTTTGAGGACAAAATGAATGAGGTATGTTAGTACCTTTTTAATGGCGAACATTTGTTTCTTCACATTATCTTCAAGTGCAGCCATTACTGTCAAGACTAATGTGTCCAGCTCTAACATTCTGTTGACGTACAGATGAAGATATAGCTGCATTTGGAGATTAAACAATCTAGTGAATGGATACTTTTTTCAGATATTTCCTGTTATTTTCAGAAATGGAAGAAAGAACTAGCAAAGCATCGAGAGAAGCGGTTAGGTGACAAGGAGAGGGACAAAAAGGCAACAGACAAGGAAAAAGATGAGAGGAAAGAGAAAAAAGAGGTATGTTCTATCTAGTTCGATCAAATATTTGGCTGCTCTTGCTCTTAAAACTCATCTTTACTCACTTTGGCATTTTATTTATGTTTAGAAAAAGAAGAAAGAGAAGAAGAAATCCAGCAGGGTGAGAAAAGACCTCCAGTGTTTTGATGGCCAGCTGTGCCTCATATATATATGCACGCATACACCGCCTATCCTCTCAGGTGGTCTCGTATTGAATCCTTTTTTCGCAGTGTTACATTTTTCAAACAAGTGAATAACCTCAAGTCTAATGAACCCTGCTTTCATTGTGTTTTGGTCAAGCATTCTTCATCTTCCTCCTCTTCATTGAGTTCTGATTCCTCTAGCAGCTCCTCCTCAGAATCTGAAGATGAGGTAAATCATTACAGGCTTTAACATGTGATACTAACCAACCACTAAAGGAAAAAAAGTTATTACCCTTAATCTAGCAGCTGTAATGTCCAAACACGGCACTCCTGAAATGGAGACATGCAACACTGACTGACTGAACATTTCTGTTTGTGTGTACAGGATGAAAAGAAGAGTGTGAAGAAGAAGCGTAAGAGAAAGAAGTCACTGGCCAGGAGAGGATCAGACACCTCCGAGGAAGAATCAGATACTGAAAGCAAGGTTATTATTATTTTTTTACTAACACAATTAGCTTCCCTTATTTGGGTCCACTTCTTGTTTTTAGAAACATTTTCGTGTAGTGAGAATGTGCAGTTAAGCAGGTGTTCTACAGTGACAGTGTGTAATCGAAATTTTTCTCCCCAAGAAGAAAAAGAAAAGAATCAAGGAAGAAGGGGACAAAGAGAAGGTAACGGACTCTCATTTAGAAACTCACCAATTATTTGGAATAACTTTGCTGACCTGGTGTGTATATCCACAGATATCATAATTTGAAATATGAAGTCATTGCATTTCTTGTTTACTTTTTCTTTCCTGTTGAGTCAAACACATTTGGGTCCAGCTGTTTTAAAGCATTGATTTTGATGCGTATATCTTGTGTCCCTCAGGATGACAAGAGCCGCAGAAGAAAAAAGAAAGCTGAGCGAAGTTATAAAGACTCATCTTCAGAGTCTTCTGCAGACTCTGAGGGGGAGGACATGGTAAGTAATGCTATTACATGATTGTTGAAAAGGAAGTGGACATCTTTCCACACCTGTCTCTCTTATATTACAAATATTAATTCCAAGTATGCTATGAATCAAATAGCCAATAGAAAATCTCTTCCACAACTCCTCCATCAGTAATTAAACCACCACCTGCTACACACGTGGACAAAATTGTTGGTACCCTTCCGTTAAAGAAAGAGAAACTCACAATGGTCACTGAAATAACATGAAACTGACAAAAGTAATAATAAATAAAAATTTACTGAAAATGACCTGATGAAAATCAGACATTGCTTTTGAATTGTGGTTCAACAGAAGCAAGAAGCATAAAAAAAACAAATTAATGAAACTGGCCTGGACAAAAATGATGGTACCCCTACAAAAGATTGAAAGTAATTTGACCACAGAGACATGTTAAACTAAAGTGTGTCCTCTAATTAGCATCACAGGTGTTTTCAGACTTGTAATCAGTCAGTCTGCCTATTTAGAGGGTGAAAAGTAGTCACTGTGCTGTTTGGTATCATGGTGTGTACCACACTGAACATGGACCACAGAAAGCTGAGGAGAGAGTTGTCTCAGGAGATTAGAAAGAAAATTATAGACAAACATGTTAAAGGTAAAGACTATAAGACCATCTCCAAGCAGATAATGCGAATGGTAACCAAAGAGCCCAGAACAACTTCCAAAGAGGTTAGAGGTGAACTCTAAGGTCAAGGTACATCAGTGTCAGATCGCACCATCCATCGCTGTCTGAGCCACAGTGGACTTCATGGAAGACCACTGAGTAGGACTCCACTGTTGAAAGCAACTCATAAAAAAGCGAGACTGGAATTTGCATATGGACCAGCCACAAAGCTTCTGGGAGAATGTCCTTTGGACAGATGAGACAAAACTGGAACCTTTTGGCAAATCACATCAGCTCTATGTTCACAGACGCAAAAATGAAGCATACAAAGAAAAGAACAATGTACCTACTGTGAAACATGGAGGAGGCTTGGTTTTGTTCTGGGGCTGCTTTGCTGCATCTGGCACAGGGTGTCTTGAATCTGTGCAGGGTACAATGAAATCTCAAGACTATCAAGGCATTCTGGAACGAAATGTGCTGCCCAGTGTCAGAAAGCTTGGTCTCAGTCGCAGGTCATGGGTCCTTCAACAGGATAATGACCCAAAACACACAGCTAAAAACACCCTAGAATGGCTAAGAAGAAAACACTGGACTGTTCTGAAGTGGCCTTCTATGAGCCCTGATCTAAATCATATTGAACATCTGTGGAAAGAGCTGAAGCATGCAGTCTGGAGAAGGCATCCTTCAAACCTGAGACAGCTGGAGCAATTTGCTCACGAGGAGTGGGCCAAAATACCTGTTGACGGGTGCAGAAGTCTCATTGGGAGTTAGAAATCGCTTGATTACAGTGATTGCCTCAAAAGGTTGTGCAACAAAATATTAAGTTAAGGGTATCTTCATTTCTGTCCAGGCCAGTTTCATTAGTTTGTTTTTTAAAATGCTTCTGTTGAACCACAATTGAAAAGCAATGTCTGATTTTCATCAGGTAATTTTCAGTAAATATTTATTCATACTTTTGTCAGTTTCACTTTATTTCAGTGACCATTGTGAGTTTCTTTTTAACAGAAGGATACCAACAATTTTGTCCACGTGTGTATGTCTTTTTGTTCCTGTTTTCCCTCTTTGTTCCTCTTAAGTTCAAATTTGGAGGGGAAGTAAATTCTTGCAAATCACAAAGTACTCATGTGATACTTGTTGTTGATATCAAAATGTGCCAGTGTCCATGTTTTGCGGCCTTTATCAGATTTAGTCAACTGCATCCCTGAAATATTTTGTCAAAGAAGAATAGACATTCAGTCCAGTTTTATCCAACAAGACACCTCTTATTTTAGTCCTTTTAGTCATAAATAAAACCTGAGCGTTGTAGTCTACCATTTTAGCCCTTTGGCCAGTAGAGATTGCTTAATGATAAGCAGTAAAAAACCTGAGCGTTGTAGTCTACCATTTCAGCCCTTTGGCCTCTAGAGATTGCTTAATGATAAGCAGTACGTTTCTTCAGATTTGTGGTAGTGGCCTACACAACACACATTCAGCCTGAGTTGGACCTATTGCTATGAGACTGCAGATTAATCAGTGGTTGTCATCATTACAAGAGACCGTCTGCAGTGTAGTTCTATACACTGAACTACTAAACCATAGACTTGCATACAGTTACATTACACCATTATCAAAGGGAGGTTTCAGTTTTAAATCTCCCCACATACTCACTAGCTCTGTCACTTGTCTGTTGCTCTTCAGAGCAGCGAGTTACACAAATAATGTTGACATTTAACTATTGTGTTTCATCTCCTTCAAAAATTCCTATTTACCAAAGGCAGATGGCATTTGAACCCATGTTCAGAATGAGGGATGTGGCCTCAAGCTGGCCACTTCAGATTGACTGCTACTGTGGGTCGAACTCATACTGCAGTCCCCAGTTGTCTTCAGTTTGACCTGCTTTTTGTGTGTCACTGCATCTTTAGTCATCAACAATAATATGGAGAGTTCATGAAAGTGGGAAAAAGCTTTCCTCAGTTTTTGTTAATATCAGTTTTGTCTTGTCAGTGCTTAATTTTCTTGCTACAGCAGTCATACCGGCAGGTTGACCAGTTTTACTCAGCAGTTGGATTGACACACAGATTACCGTGTGCATTTGGTCAGGTGTAGAAATGTTTTGTAAAACTAACCGCTGTTGCAGATTCTTGTAAAATCCATTATTATGAAACACTGTTGCATGAAGTGACCTTTTTAGATTTGGGTGGAGCTCAAGACTTTTGTCTTTCCATGGTCTTATTTAAACTTTTCCCTTCTGTAGCCTGAAGCGAAAAAGAAAAAGAGAACTGAGGAAAAGGAGAAAATCACAGTGAGCAATTTCCTTTGTACCTATTTAAAGTTGGAGTGCACAAACAAGATTTTGGTTTGCTCTAGTACAGCTAGGGATGCGAGTTTACTAACCTGTATGGTTTTATGTTCTCAGGACAAATCCAAGAAGAAGAGGAAGAAGAAGCACAAGAAACATGGCAGAAAAAAGAAAAAGAAGGCAGCATCTCAGTCGGATTCTGAGCTCGACTAGTGTTACGGTTCTCTCATCCTCCCGACTGTTCACTAGTAGTGTTATTTTTGCCTTGGACTACCAAAAAGGTCTCCCATCCAGCTTCGTAACAATTGCTCAAGAACACGTATGGACTTGTAAAGTTGGGTTGTGTGAATGAAATGAAACCGAGGGAGGCATCCATCACACTTAGTGGCAACTGCTGGTACATATCTTTTGTTTAATTTTATCACCACATTATTTGTAGATTGCTCTTTGAGTTGCACTCAGTGACAGGACTAAAGTGAATTCCACACACACCCCCTCCCCGTCATCTTGGACATTTTGGTGAGACTGGGACTGTATGCTGGCCCTCAAGGAGTTACTCCCTCTGCTTCAAACCTGACATCTTGCATCTGTGGTTGCTAGATGAGGCTGTTATGCTAGTGCCTGTGTCATGCATGCCTGATGTCTCGCCAGCCTCATATTGAAGGTTGGACTTGTCATAGGAAATGTGCACTACACACTCAGCATTTATACTAGTGATAATTGTTCAGTTAGATGAGTTGTTACACTGCAGTGTAAATGTATAAACAATGGGAATTCATTAAAGTATTGTTTTAGCCTTTATTGTTTACTTATTTACAGCCTTTGTGGAACCAGTGTGTGTATATACAAATCACATGCTATTTGCTTTTTTATATATATATCAAACTGCTGTAATTCTACTTCTGTAGTGTCTTTCTTACTTAAAACCTAAACTGAACTCAGCAATAACAAACAGGGTAGGTAAAATGTAAACCTCAGCAACACTGCGGCTTTTCCAACTTGTGTTCATAGTTTCATGCTGTAAAACCTACATTTCAGGTGCAGCATATCACTGTTTTACAAGGCTAAATAAGATGCAGAAGGTGGGTTTTTACTGCTTTATCAGTTGGAGGGGTTTAGACCCAAGTTGCTTTGCTTAATGTATTATAAACCAGTACTAAACAAGCCTGCCAGTATGCTATCTCGTATCCCAGTATGTCTCAGCTGTTAGGATGCAAGTATTTCTGAGTTAAGAATGGTGGAAATGTACCTAGACCACTTTACTTAAATAAAAGTAACAGACATACTCTGCACACAAACATTTAGTTCAAAACTTTGGTAAATTACCAAAGTAGTAGTAAAATGTATATAAATTATTAGAATGTCCTCTTTTCATGCAGTAATATCATTAAATGTTGTTGGAGTGTTATTGCACACATTACTACAGAAGAAACCAGTGGTTAATTTGTGCTAAAACAACCCAGATCCGGTCTTGGAGTTAAAACCTCTTCCCCCGTCAGGGTGTGTTTCCCCCTGTTAAAATGTTTCTAATGGTGCCCCCCTCTGTGGTTAGGATAAGTTTAGGGTTCAGGTTAGGGGAAACGCATCTTGATGGGGGAACAGATCTCGACGCAACACTGGCACCTCCCAAAATGTAACACCTCTCCCCAAGCTGATGTGTCAGGTCCATCATCAAGTGGGGAGGCGACAGTGGTGCGGTGGGTAGAGCAGTCGTCTCCCAACTTGAAGGTTCAAATCTCGGTGCCTCCAGTCCACATGTCGAAGTGTCCTTCAGCAAGACACTGAACCCCCCGTTGCCCCTGATGGTTAGAGCCATCGGTTGAGGTGGCGCCACAGATGGCCGCCATCGGTTCTGTACCGGAAACAAATTCCTTGTGTGTGTAACACACTTGGCCAATAAAGGTGATTATCCTTATATTCTGGGACCTCATAATTTACAAATTAGGCACTGGAAGAAACTACCCAGGTAGTTAACATATCCAATCTTATAAGCTCATGTGTTTAGGATGTAAAATCTTTATTTTCAAACTACTTACTTTAACTGAGGTGTGGAGTAAAAGTACAATATTTTCATCTGTGTTGTAGAAGTAGGAGAGAATAAAATACACATGGAAAGTACACATACCTCAAATGTGTGCTTTAGTATTTCTGTAAATGTATAGGCATTCCACCTCTATATTAGACTGCTGTATATAAAGCAGTTAACGTCATATAACTTGCTTTCCTTGTTCACCAGTTCATAAAGTTTGAAAACCTTTGGACTACTTATTACTTTCAAAATAAAAGTCCTTTTTATGTAGCATTAATATTTTTGAATGAGGCTTCACAGGCAGATCTTGTGACTGAAACTGTAATCATACCAGACTTTAATGTGATCTTGTAAACTCTTTCATGTTTAACTTTTGGAATTAATGCTTGTGCTCCTGTTTTACTCATATTGTGAGGACTGAAATCTGGTTAGACTTGGTAAGACTCCAGGAAATGAATGTAAGTCAATAAAGTCCCCACAAGGGATGAAAACAAACATCTTTATGTGTGGCTTCACAATGATTAGTCAATCTTTTTAAAGTGTGGTCAGCGGGTGTGAAACCTTTACAGAAATCTCTACTCTCACAATCTGACAGGTCTAGTCTGATATCATAAACAGTACTATCCCCCCACCACCAGCACTGGGAGGGTCTAACTTGACATATAAATAACGGCATGTCTGTTGCTCAGTTCAGAGAGAGTGCAAGGCACATTACAGGAAACTGTGGAATCACTTCAGTGTCAGAAGGTACGTAATTAAAAAAAATCAAATCTTTGCATCAAATCCTTTGTTGTTATAAGTGTCAACAGTGTAGTTCTTTAATTATCTGTCACAACTTCTTCTTAATACTGTTCATTGAGGCTGCTTTAGAGAACAGGAACTGTAGCACAAGCTAAAACGAAACTGGAAGTTACAGCAACTGAACAAAATGGAAAAGTTTAACATTTAAGATGCAAAATCTGTGAGATTCTGCAGTTTTCAAGGAGATTTTTCTCTGAAATAGCACACAGCTGAATTGAACACACTTTACATGAATACTCTTCTGCAGATGTTGAGGATCTGGCTGTTGGTGTTTGTGTGGGGGTTTGCATCATGTTCCATTACCTGTCCTGATGGCAGTATCTGTTCTGATTTTGACACCTGCTGTAGGACTAAGGATGGATATAGCTGCTGCTTATATCCTAATGTAAGTCAGATGAATCCGCACATTCATTAAGTTGACCTGTTGTTGTTAAAAACTGCCACCAATAATGCTTAATAATGCTCTGCCTTGCTGTACTGATGTGTGTCTCCAGGCTGTGTGCTGCTCTGATCAGGCTCACTGCTGCCCTTCAGGGTTTCACTGCAACCTGGTCACAATGTCCTGTGAGAAGAAAAATCAGCCATGGATGAACATTCCCATGGTGAAGAAAAAAGCTGCAAAAGAACCAGGCAATCTTGAGGTAGGACATATCACACTAAACTATAAGTAACTTTCGAGGTAGGTTTTAAAGGCCATATTTTTTTTTTCTTTTCTTACCATAAACAATGGGGCTCCTACTTGAACATACATTTCTGACACAGCTGGAACACCTTTTGTTCTGTTACATTGGATATCTCTTTATTTCAGTTTTGTTCTTGTATTTTTAAAGTGGATGGGACTCTGTTGGAAAAAAGGTGGCATTACATACTTCCACGTATCACTCAGGATTAGCAGAATTTTTGAGGGTTAAACTTGTGATAAGTAAGTTTCCCCCTAAATTTAAATTTGTTCTAATAAAGACCAGATATTTCCTGAAGGAGGTGCTGGAATGCAAAACAAATAATAAATATGATGACTCCAAAGGAACACTAATGTAACCCCATATATGCTGGCTGTGTAACTATTTAGCAACATGATAGCTACAGTATATGGGCTTACAAGAATGTATCATGTTTACAGCTTGTTTCTGCTGCCCCTTAGTGGCCAGAGAAATATTTTAATGCAGGCTTTGATTGTTGCTTAGTTGTTTGTAAATGGTTAATGTTCTAAAATCGGACAAAAAGATAGAGACACCTCTGAATATAATGTAGTCCAGTACAACATCACCTTTAACTATGACCTTAATAATAAACATATAACTGAATTTATATATTTATGACAATTTCACCAAAAAACTGAGACATTTTGAGCTTCATTAACAGAGGTTAAGGTGGAAGTGTTTCAGTGTACCTAATAAAGTGGCCAGTGAGAGTGTATATACACACACATACACACACATATATATATATATATATATATATGTGTGTATATATATATTTATATTTATATAACATTAAATATTTAGATAAGTCAGTTTGTGATTACTTTTCAGACACCTATGACAGCTCTATCAGAGGCCAGTGGTGGTGCCCACAAGGTTGGAGTCATTCGATGTGATTCCAGGTTTTACTGCCCACAAGGGAAGTCTTGCTGCAAGGGACCCAAAGGCCAGTGGACCTGCTGTCCTTACCCACTGGTATGAAATTTGCATTTGTGCAGCTGTTTCATTATTTTAAATTTGGTGTCAGATAGCTTATCAAATATTAAAGATATCAACAAACAATGGTACACTGATCTGAAGTTAAATGTCCGGTATAAGTGCTTACATAACTGGAATGCAGTAGGTTAAAAAGGCAGAAAAACATTAGATGATCAACATCTTTTAACACTGTGTCTGTTCACCACACCATTAACATCACAAACCGATGTGACTCATAGATTTGAATGTCCATGTTGTGACCATATACTCAGATATGGATGTGCTTATCTCCTTTTACTGCAGTACTTTACTAGTCAATATTTTGTCCTACAACATCAAATTTTTGACTGATTTCAGGGCCAGTGTTGTGCTGATGGTCGGCACTGCTGTATGTATGGATATAAGTGTGACCCCTCCTCCCTGTCATGCACCAAATAGTACTCTCGGGTCCCCTCAGGAACACAGGAGCTTGCCACAGCAGACTGAGGACATGTTAAAGTGCGCTGTGACAGCTTTTTTTTTCATCATTTTGGTACACATTGTAAGTAAATTCTACCAATGCTTTATAGATAAAGTATCAGAAACTGTCCAGATTTAGGATTTCTCTCAATAGACAATTAAATGGATCAATAATCTACTCTTCTTAATCTTATTCATTTGCTATTCCTGTTTGGATGAACAGTACTGTATAGTTGGTTTTCATAAATAAGGAACATCAACATTCATTTTCATTAATAATTTTTTTAACTACCTTTGCAACATTTTCTCCTACAACATTCAAATTATTTATTTCCAGCATCTTCATTGTTAGATTAAATACAGTAATGCATTGCAAAGCAGTATGGTGAGTGTGCTGAATTTGGGTTTGGAAACAGTCAACAAATTATGAACGTATGCCTTCTGTAATTTGATTTGATTTGATTTATTTATTCTTTCAAGCATGTAAAGACAGTTGATAT